TGGTCACGTGTTTCTGTTGCCTCTCGTCTGTGTGTGTGTGTGTGTGTGTGTGTGTGTGTGTGTGTGTGTGTGTGTGTGTGTGTGTGTGTGTGTGTGTGTGTGTCAGTTCACCTCAATATATTTCCCTCCTCTGTATTGACCTGCTTCCTGCCTTTCTGTGACTGTATATACTATTCATTTATTTTTATTAGATTACAGATCACTGAGGGTGAAGCCTCAGTTTACAACAGTGTCGAGAAGATAAAAATACCAGTTGAAAAAAGAACATCAAATTAAAAAAAACAAGATTCAGTTAAAACAGGAAGAAACAGAAGTTTAAAGGTCAGAGATTAAAAATCTATGGAGGTGATGGAGCGAGAGCCGCTCATTAGTCCTGGTGACACATGACATGATGGACAGCTGACAGCTTTTATTACTGATGTAGATGATCATATATGTTGATTTGTTGAAGGACAGTTTCTTTATTTGTTTCCCTCTTTCCCAGCAGGATGAAAAGGAGTACTTGGGGATGGGGGGGGGGGCGTCCGAGCTTCTCACACAGGATACGATGACGAGAGTTAAAGGCGTCAGCAGGGATGAACCTGAGAGACGCTGGTTCTTCCTCTGGTTCTGTCTCTGGAGAAAATCAATCCGCTTCAGTCAAATGCAGCTTTTAATGGATTTCTTCGTTCTGCCTTTGGAGTTTTTAGACGTAGATTTTCTGCGTGTTTTTGGAGCATGTGAAGGACTGATTCCTGTCTCGTCTTCCTCCACAGCGGAGAAGGTTTCCTCTTTGGGGAAAGACTGGCACAAGTTCTGTCTGAAATGTGAGCGCTGCAGCAAGACGCTGAATCCCGGAGGCCATGCTGAGGTAGGAGGAGCCTCTTCAACGCTCTTTATCTCACTCTAAAAATAACAGGAGGGAAGTATCTGAGCTGCATCAGAAGCTGTAACCTTCGTGGTTCACCGTGTGAAACACGTCCTGTGACCTCAGCAGGAAGCAGTGGCTTTCCTCGTGGTCAGACTGTACACAGCATTCACTTCATGTTGAGGTCGCGTCCTCTGTCACCCAAAACAAGTGTTCATCAGCTTAGTTTAAAGGATCTGTTCCCATCAACACACATATTCATATGTCAGAGCCGCCATCTTGTTTTCAGGTTGTTTGTCCATACGTCCGTCTCATTCTCGTGGACACGATGTCTCAGTAACGCCTTGAGGGAATTTATTCAAATTTGGCGTAAACATTCTCTCGGACTCAAGGATGAACTGATTCAATTTTGGTGGCTAAAAGGTTAAAGGTCAAAGGGGCGGTAATTCTAGTTTTGTGCAGGTGAAAGTCACATGACTCCATGTGGCACTGAGACGTTATAAATGTAACTGAGTAAAAATGACAATCTTTCCCTCTGACATAATAACAGTAAATGAGCATTATTACTGAATAAACTCATAATGAACCTTTACATATATTTCTGAATGACACAGATGAAACCGTTGGCGCCGCTTCTCAAAGACGTTTTACTGGAAAAGACGCATCAGTTTCAAACAGCACATCGTTGTAGAAAAGAGACGAGAGTGTCTTTATTTCTATGGACGACAGAGAATAATGAGGAAGTGATGGTCAGAGTGGAGAGAGCAGACACGGGGTAATTCTGTGGAACAGACTGAAAACAGAAATGTGCTGAACTTTAGAAACAGCTGCTTTAGTTTGATTCACTCTGAGACTCACCGCCCCCCCCCCCCCCCCCTGTATTTCAGCATGATGGGAAGCCTTACTGCCACAAGCCGTGCTACGCCGCCCTCTTTGGGCCAAAAGGTGAAAGTGTCTTCTCGTCGTCAGATAAACCGTCTGTACGTTACCATCGTTTCCAGGTTTGTAAAATCAACGTTTGTGTGTTTCAGGCGTGAACATCGGCGGAGCTGGCTCCTACGTGTACAACACTCCCGCCAACGAAGCCCCTGCAGCCGTTTCCATGGAAACAGATGGGAAACCAGAGGAGGTGAAAAAAGCTCCTGCGCGGGGACCAGTGAAGGGTGAGAAATAAAACTCACATGTTCAGAGGAGAAATCTCTGGACGGATCAGGAGGTGACGGGTTCACGATGCTTTGAAGATGTGTGAAAATCAGGCAGTTAAAAAGAGCGGGAAGGATGACACGACACAAACTGATTCTGCTGACAAGCTGTAAACTTACATGTCAGAATAATAATGTTCACTTATCACCGAACAATCAAACATTATTCTGATCCTCTGCTTCTCCTCCAGCTGCCAGCTTCTCCTCTTTCTCTGGAGGACCCAACATCTGCCCCAGGTGCAACAAGACGGTGTATTTCGGTGAGAAGAACCCGTGTCTTCATATCTGCAGTGAGTAAGTCGGCTTGTTGCCATAGTGACTTCATAATGGTGTGTGTGTGTGTGTGTGTGTGTGTGTGTGTGTGTGTGTGTGTGTGTGTGTGTGTGTGTGTGTGTGTGTGTGTGTGTGTGTGTGTGTGTGTGTGTGTGGGTGTGGGTGTGTGTGTGGGTGT